GTTTTTAGTTTTTTTAAATGTCTGTGTTTTTTTTTTTAATAAAAAAAAACTTATATTGACCCCACACTGGCTATTCTACTTGTTGCTCTTTACATATCTATAGTTCTACATTGTGATTTCCTATCCTGTTTGAGCACTGGTTATCCAGATTTGGTGATCCTGAAAAGTTCCTATCCGGATCAGATTGATCCAATCCGATGTTGCTTTGAAAAACTGGCTCAAAAGTAAGCTGGATTACGTGATCACGGATCGCAAAAAAAAGGATTACTAAATCCAGATCAATTTTATCCGGATTAAACCTTTTGAAAAACCGGGCCCAGGAGAGAAGAAAGGTCATGGAGAGATTCACTGGATCCTGAGGATCACTGCTGTTTGTTTTCCTTTTTGTGCTGAATCATACTTGTGGTTCTTTCACACAGGAAATGATTCTGGTCTGCTTTGTTCTTTCCAATATGGCCATTTTTACCTTTTTCCTGGTTGACTGGGGGCTGAGGAGAGCGATCAGGCTCCTGGACTGAGGGCGTATTCTGAGCTAGCAGCAATTAGCAGGGATAAATAGCAGGGATTAGTTATTCCAGCAGTCAATGGATTTAATGGCCGCAATATCATGACAAAACCATATGTACATTAATATTTCTCCAATGGTGTAAAATACAGTCATTAGAATGTGCTGCAGCATGGTGGCTTAGCGTTTAGCATGGAGCTCCATCCCACAGGGCTGTGGCTCTTAACTCTGCCTCCATCTGAGGGTGTGAACAGAGCGGATCTTCCTCCTGTGTTTGTGTGAGTTTTTTTTTGATGGTTCCTCTTTTCCTTCCGTCTCAGGAGAACGAAATTATATCATAATCCATCAGGTGGCAGCATCACTCCAACAAACTGTGTTGAGAAAACAAAAATTAATGTTTGTTGAGTAGCTAACAAACAAGATACAGTATTATGCAAATGAATGGGTTTAATTTATGCATAAATTGTTTTATATCTATATATGTACGTCAGGTTGGCCATTTCCAAACCTTTTTGAAAGTCGCCCCAGTATTTGTAGTAACCGTCCTATATACCCATATACCATACCATACCATGGCTAATCAATATCTCATCAAGGTATTTAATTATGTTAACTAAGTACGGTGGTGGTGAAGAAATACTTGTATCCATTGCTGGGTTTCCCCAGTAAGAGGTTAGGAAATCAAGGCAGTGTTCTTCTAGCCAGCCAATCAAGGCAGCGTTCTTCTAGCCAGCCAATCAAGGCAGTGTTCAAGCCAGCCAATAAGCTTTCCGTAACATTTTGGAGAACACAAGGATTCCTTATGCTTTTATTGTATTATGGTATATCTGTTTAATCTTTAATTTTAATTTTTTTTTTCTGAATAA